CCTTAGGGGATATATCTGGAGGTCCTCTTCCCCATCCTCACCTTTCTTCAGACCGTCGTAGCCAAAGACGTTGATGTTAAGGTCTACATTCCGCCTCTCGAATTTATCGATCGCCTTGAGGGATACTGGAAAGTCAATATCATCGAATTTTAGCTCATCCCCCCACTGCTTGTACTGGCTTACGCGGTGTGTCGACTTGTGATCGACTTCCCCATGATGTAGGGCTGAGAGAATGGCCCAGCGGAAGCACTCCTGATCTTGGTTTTGGATGTTGATGACGGCCTTCTTCTGAGCGAGTGGCTTTGGGAGTGGTATGTGGGAGCTGCCCCTAAGTGGCTTAAATTCGTTCAGGTGGATCTTTAGCTGCTCGATGTGGGCGATGGTCCATCCACTACCCTCGCGCATATACCTTGACATGCTTTCCTTGATCTTCCCTACCATAACCGCAATCTCGAAGTCGAGGTCTGCTGATTCGGTGATGACTGTCTGGGCTGATCTGAAGTAAGGAATGACGTAGGTGTTCCCCCCCAGTCGCGGAATTCGTTTTAACCAGCTCCACTTTCAGCACTAGCTGTACCTTCAAGCCCTTCTTTCGGGTGAGGGCATCTACGATTGTCCTGGAGATGGTGCTGCGACTTACCTGGAAAAACGTTTCCAAATCATGCTGCTGGAGCGGGTTAATTCTGACTGTGCCAAAAACTCCTTTCAATGCATCGCGTCGGTCAACTACCTTGATCTCGTCTTCCAATGGGGCATTTTCGATATCCTTCTTCACCAGGTCGGTTAGGGCGGCTCTTCCTAGTCGGGAATATTTGGTGATTCCGCGTCTTTTGGCGATGGCCTTCAGCTCCTTCTTTGTGAAGACCTCTTCGCGGGCAAATTTTCGGTTGGTTTTCTCCTCGATTAGTTTGACCAACTTTTTCTTCGACATCCTGCTGACCCCCCTCAGACCCTTATCCTTAGCTATTTGACGGAGTGCCTTCATGGTCTCTTTTACCACAATTTTGCCTACGATTGGGATGTTCTCGTCATCGTCCTGTTGGCGCGATTGCTTCCTATGTCTCCAACAGAGATCGTCCATTCCCGATTTGCTCTTGCAGAACTGCCCCTTCTTCCTCTTCAGTGGGACACCGCAGGTGTGTCTCACCCATTCTTCTGGCTGGTCTTCAAATTTCAGCTTTGTCGACTGAGCGCCGCAGTTGTGACACATTTGGGTGGTCGGATCCATCTGTGCCATATTTGGGTTGTCGCAGCACTGCTGAGGGGTTGGGGTTGAGGCGCTATCCTCCAAATCTTTCTCATTCTCCAAGAAGAAATCTGCGTACTGATCCATAATATTCTTACCCGATGCCATCCTTTTATTTATTTTAATTTGGGGCACCCTTCCCTCTAAGGTGTCTTCGCTGATGAAGTCATCTGTGTCGACGAAACCATTGTGTACAAAAGTCATGATTTATTATACGTTAAGAAAGGACGCTGTCGGATTGAATCTTAGCCTCGGGGTAAGGGGTCCTATGCAGGATTTCCCCTTAAAATGGGGGAGTGCGGCAGAATCGGCCTTTTCACACTACTCTTGTGCTTACGTTAAAATATGCTTAAAGAACAAGACTTTAAATGATTGTACTTTAAATCCCGGCATGCAATATCAGTAGTTAACGTCACGTACTACAGGAAGTTGTCAATAAAAAAATTAAATATTATTGAATTTCTTCTTTATTGCTGCACATATAGTGATAAAACTTTGTGAGTATGTATTTATAATGAACATATTTAAACAATAAGTCAAATATTGCGAATTTTCCCTTTAGAGGTCACATGAATACGGATTCAATGAGGTCGAAATATTCGCTTGAAGGTGAATAATTCATCAGTGATTTTTCTTACCTTATTTTGACAAAATTTAACCAAACTGGCTGCTAGAGGCGAATTATTATTTCGCTTTTTCACTTTCATAAATGATTGAACAAATAAAAAATCACATATTTTAATTTTTTATATATCTCGTAGCTAATGCCCCTTTAAAATACTATTTTGGCCTTTCCTCTATTCTACTTTTTTTTTACCCCAATATAAATTTAAAAGCAGAGCAAAAACATGAGTGGATGAAACTACAAAGCAAAAAACCTATTTTCAAAATTATAAGCTATAAAACGGCAAGCTTTTTAGAAAAGCTTTTACTTGTTTAGTTAGCATACATACAAGGGCGCGAATCAAACAGTCCTTGCATGAACTGAGTTGACTCGACCTTAAGTTTCTAAATATAGATTTGGGTTTCTGTTTTGGTTTGTTTTGTTTATATTTCGAAAAAAAGGTAAAAGAATATTTTCTTTTGTGTAAATAGAATTTGGAATAATTAAAATACTATCTATGAACGAATTTTTTAACACATTTTTCTGATGTTTAAATACGTCAACATGTCAAAATTGTGTTGAATTCTCATTAGTTCTTGCAGGATTTCAAGATAAGCTATTATTATTTAAGAAATCGATCAAAAAATGGTGAAGATAATAAATATTTTAAAATTTGAACTACGTAAATCGTTGACAATTTAACTGTATTAAAGAATGCGAAGAATTGTTTCTGTTTATATATTGATTACCTAGACTGCTTTTAACACTAATGTGTTTAGGTCACGTATGGGTTTGAAGCAGGAGATTACGTGTTGTTTTTTTTTATAATTTTGAGATAATTTCACAGTATACATTTATATCGTCGTGTGATTGTTATAGTGTTATATGTCCACTCTTGATAACAAGAGGCTCTCAAGAGCCTGAATCGCTCACCTGTATTTCAGAGGAGAAGATTTTTAAATGTTAGCAAACTTGATGAACAAATTGTGTAAAATTGTCTTTAAAGGGCAATAACTCCTTAAGGGGTATTAACTTTTTTGTAGATCTTACTTTGCTGAACATTATTGCTGCTTACAGTTTATATATATCTATAATAATATTCAAAATAATAACAAAAAACTGCAAAATTTTGTTAAAACTACCAATTCGGTGGCAGCAACCCAACAATGGGTTGTTCGATTCGTCTGATAATTTCAGGGGCGATAGATCTTGACCAATTAAACAATTTTACCCCTGTCAGATCTGCTCTAAAAGCTTTAGTTTTTGAGATATAAGCCAAAAACTGCATTTGACCCTTATGTTCTATTTTTAGCCATGGCGGCCATGTTTGTCGATGGATCAAAACTTTGGATACAATTTATAAACTAGATACCCTAAGGAACATAGTTTACGACGACAGACGACGACGGACGCCTAGTGATGGCATAAGCTCACACGGGGCCCCGGTGAGCTAAAAATGGAGATAACTTTATATATTTGATATACAAGTGCAATGGTATGTATCCCTATACAATCAGAATAGAGGTTTCCCGATTTGCTACGTATCAGGTACAGTTGGTACGTAACTCAACCGTTAGTGTTGTTTTGGAGGTATTATTTTATTCATCATGATAGTATAAAGAAATCGAATTGCATATCAGCAAAATCTATCTCAACTTTTTATTTGGTAGCGATTTCACCGTTTCTAGAACACTTTGTTTGATATTCTATATAAAATTATTAAGTTAGTGCACAGGTGCATGAACCAAACAGACCTTACACGAACTGAGTTGAGACGGCTTTTAAATTCTAAATACGTATAGATTTGCGGATCTGATTGATTAATGTATTGTTTTTGTTTTGGTTATTTACAAACAAAAATAGAAAAATGTTTTGTTATGTATTTACAGAAATTGGGATAATTAAAATACTGTCTGTAAATGACTTTCTTAAACTCGTGTTAATTACTGGTGTCAAAATTGTGTTGATTTCTCAATACAGGTCTTTCATGATTTTTTAATTAGTTAATATCATTTAAGTTATATATTTCGATAATTGTCGAAGACGATAGAGCTGGTATTTCATATTGAGTGAGAAAAGGACACCCTTCTTATGTTTTTTTTCTATCAACAACTGAAGATTTTTTTTCAGAAATGCATTCTAAAAAGTAAACTGAAAAATATTGAAAACAAAATATTTACGACTCTATTGCCGATAAAAAAAAACAAACGTTGTGATTAAGTGTATAAATCAGTTATTTTCAAAAGACCAATGAAGGCTTTAAGTTCGTGCTACGGTTGGTACGGTAGCAAATCGGGAAACCTCTAATACGATATTTCTACACACTACGAGTTTTTGTCAGAACTACACTGTTCTACCTTCACGCTCACATTGGATTATAATAGCTTTTTCATCTATATGTAGTTAGTTCGGCGAAGATTATTTTTACAGCGTTGTATCTCCAATATTTTTCATGTATTTTTGCTGTAAAATAATTGTTATCAAATTTATCTAAGTATAGTACTATGCGTAAATTGTTTGCATGGTTTGAATTCAATCTATGTGCATTTGTTAGCAAATCCAGCGGTCCAGAATTGGGGATATAAAACAGTTAAAAAATCTATGGTCAATCTCCAATAGAAATATAGCCTTTTAGGGATACATTTCTAAAACAACATTGTTTGTAGTGAAGTGGTCTATCTTCAGAATAGGGGATGCTTTATCCGTTTAAGTTGCTCTGGTTTTTTTTTTTAAAAACCAATCGAACTAAGAGTTACTCTTCATAAATTATATAACTTTTTATACGACCGCAAAAAATTTTGCGGTCGTATATTGGTATCACGTTGTCGTCGTCGTCGTCGTCGTCGTCGTCGTCCGAAGACATTTGGTTTCCGGACAATAACTTTAGTATTAGTAAATAGAAATCTATGAAATTTAAACATAAGGTTTATAACCACAAAAGGAAGGTTGGGATTGATTTTGGGGGTTATGGTTCCAACAGTTTAGGAATTAGGGGCCAAAAAGGGACCCAAATAATTTTTCTAGTTTCATGACAATAACTTGTGGAACAGTGTATGGATCTCTCTGAAATTATACCATACGTTTCAATACCACAAAGGTATGGTTAGGATTTGCTTTGGGGGGTTATGGCTCAAACCGTTTAGGAATTAGGGGGAAAAAAAGTGAGAAAAAACAAGGGTGTCCTGGTTAATGGACAATTACTTAAGTATAAATTACAGTGTAAGAGAGGTAATTCAAACACAATTCTGATTTACCTCCCTTACACTGCTTTTAAATTATGTATAAAGAATATTTGTATTGTCTTGAGGTGATTAGCTGTCAATTCATTTTTAGAAGTTACTATTTTAATAATTTTAAAAATGCTGATTTAGGTAAATTAATTTTAGCTATGATTATGTATGTCATTTTCTATTTTAAGACTTTTATGATGTATTTAAATGGGTTATTATGGTTGCAAACTCCATTGGAAATTTGAATTGAAATTATGACCATGACTGAGGGAAAGATTTTGTTTTTGGAAAAAGGGGGGAGGGGAGGTTAAAAAAAATTGGTGGTGGGGGGGGGGGGGGGAGGACAATTTTTTCTCCTCAAAATTTCAGAAATCAAAACGAAAATCCTTCATTTTTTTTTAAAGGGGGGGGGGGGGGGGGGTGTCAATTCGCAACAGCATAGTGTATTGCACAAAAGCAAAAACATGAATATAAATTCAAATCATATAACCAATTCTAAGTTCTTTGACTACAGTTATTATGTGTCAGAAACCTATTATGTGTCAAATATTGAATTACAATCCAAATTCAGACCTGTATCAAGCGCGAATATAGTGTCCATTTTTGCCCCAACTGTTCAGGGTTGGACCTCTGCGGTCGTATCCAGCTGCGCTCGGAGAAGCAATTTATTATATATTGGTCAAATATTTATGATATTGCGCTTTTATACATCATATTCACTATTTGAAAAATGGAAAACACGTGTTTTAAAGATTCACACAACGATAGTAAGTAAGGTTTTGCAAATTTCACTGGCTATCGTAAAACGCGTCGCCGATTACAGTTTTCATCTTATTTCATTATTGATACGTCAATTGTGTATGTTAATATTACAAGAGCAAATCAGATAAAATATAAATGTGCTTTATCTTTTAGCTTCTTTTCGCCTTTGTATTTTCAAGGGAAACAAATTTAAATTACTAACTGTTCGTGCAACGGTTACCCGAGAACGGTTGCTTGAAAGCATAACCGAGTACACACAACATTATTTACTATGAATACCAATAGTAGGTTGCATTTCTGTAAATATTGACAATGCAATTTCCCATAGGAACTCCTTTTACGGCGAAAACTGTACCACTTTTACTATGAAGTTTTGAAAAAAATCATATCCTAGAATGCATGGAAAGTTCATATGAACTACTATTTTTTTTAAAGGTCAAAATATAGGGCTGTGCGGCATATTTTCAACGTTTATATGCCCCCGAACTTCTAAGAGTTTAAACTAACACTAAATTTCTTAACTACCTCTACCTTAACTGTAGGATTACCACAGATTTCAATATAAACAATATGCATATGTATATTTACTGGTAACATTCCCAAGTTATGTCTCTATGAGATCAAACATAGAGATCATAACTGGGAACCAGTATGTAAACAAAATTAATTATCTATGAATATTCTATATCTCCCCAAAAGAGGCGTGGTTTGAGAAACAGCTGTATTTACAAAGTGCAACCTATACAGACATTTATTCAAATAGAAAACTCTCTAAAAACACCTTTTCTCACATTAATACTTACTCATCAGAATTATAGCCTTAAAGAAATCACTGCATATACAATAAGTTTTCTTTTAATGTACATTTTATACCCCCTCCCCTGTTTCAGTTTTTTAAAGAATTTGAAAACAATACTTTAATTATTGCCAGCTTACTCTATTTGCATATTTTCTGACATAAAATGCCTAGAACCTGTTTAAAACTGTTCTGATAACAAATTGAAAGCATTTCAGAATACTGTAAATGTAATGTTTAGCAGTCAATCATTCCAACATTCAAGATTATATAAAGTATCCAATCCTGCCTCTGTCTCCAGTCCACATCTTACTGTATGCCTATTTGTCACTGAAAGTTCTCAATTTCTGCCTCAAATGGTCAGTTTAGAATTTTTGTCACAACAGTATCATCTCTAACCATATATCTGACATAATTTAGCTAATATATGAACTAGAAGTGTTCAAACAAAGCCATATTTGCAATAGTTGTATGTATGCAGATACCAGTCTGATGTACAAATTCACTTAAAGTTTTTATAGAAATAGTCGACTGCTAACATCTGATTTTTGCATAACTTCCAAGCACAGTTATTGTTTTCTATATAAAGACCTTTAAAATCATAAAATCATAGCATTTACAAGTTATATCATTTGTTTTATGACCCAGGGGGTAGGCAATTTCTCGGTTTTTTGCCCCTGGGGCCTCAAATTTCCTAAATTATTCTGCTGTTTCTAGCAATATGGAATATTTAGTACATATTCAGGATAGGACACACTATTGTAAGTTTTGTTGAGATATTTTTGTATTTCTAGCTTGTATTTTTTATGTCGCGGTGACAAAAAAAGCAGATTTAGGTGTTACGGCTTACTTTTTGGGTTATCGACGGGACAAAAACACCCCACCAATAATATTCAGGAAGGATCTATGAGTTTCAATGACTGCGAAGAGTAAATATAAGCACTTCTAAACTATTTAATTTACAAATATGCATATATTATGAATTTATTTTGCATTCAGGGCTTTAAGTAAACTATGCATACTGTAAACTGTGAATTTATGCTGAGTCATCATAGTAAAGGCCCAGGATTTTCTCAGTATTTACTCTATTAACGACTGACAGACCTACACCCTTCTTACATGTACACCATGTACGTTTACCATAATTAATATACAAATTAAATACAAAATTAATTTTGCCGACTAGCCCGTCAAGTACGCTGGACGCCGGAATTTATTATAGATATACAACATATATATAACAAATATTTCAAACATTGTTTGAGTAACCATCTATACATTTATTAATCACTGAGCATTTACAAATAACTTAAGAAAGTTCCTCCCGGTACCAACGGCCAAGACACGCTCAGGAAAAACCAGATATAAAACCATATAGTATTTGATGGTCATAAAAGCTCTGGAAACCTGTGTTCTCTAGCAAAAATATCTTTCGACAGACGGTCTCATAGGGACAACACGAGAACTTGCGTTGATAATGAACTTTCATTCCCAATCAAAATATACACTTACAATCTGTATAACATTTTAAAATTTAAATTCAGAAAATAAAAATTACACTACGCATACAACTTTGCGATATTAAATTTATTAACCAAAATGTAATTTTGATGTGTACGCTTCAAAGGACGGCTAGAAAGTGAGATACATTTACATGTTTACCTTTTACCTGTAATCAATTTTGATTACAAACAAATCCTTATTGGACAATACCTTTTTTATAAACCGTTAATACAGACATTTTCCCGCTATTACTAGCCGAAACGCGGCGCGGAAAATTCATGTCTTCATGAAATATTTATAAAACTTCATATTTGAGTTGATTTCATTAAAATCTGTGAGATAAACCAAATTTGGTTAATTCTGTATGTTCTCTTTTTTTCACCCAATATAGGTTGCATTTCTGTAAATATTGACAATGCAATTTCCCATAGGAACTCCTTTTACGGCTAAAACTGTACCACTTTTACTATGAAGTTTTGAAAAAAATCATATCCTAGAATGGAAAGTTCATATGCACTACTATTTTTTTTAAAGGTCAAAATATAGGGCTGTGCGGCATATTATCAACGTTTATATGCCCCGAACTTCTAAGAGTTTAAACTAACACTAAATTTCTTAACTACCCCTACCTTAACTGTAGGATTACCACAGATTTCAATATAAACAATATGCATATGTATATTTACTGGTAACATTCCCAAGTTATGTCTCTATGAGATCAATCATAGAGATCATAACTGGGAACCAGTATGTAAACAAAATTAATTATCTATGAATATTCTGTATCTCCCCAAAAGAGGCGTGGTTTGAGAAACAGCTGTATTTACAAAGTGCAACCTATACAGACATTTATTCAAATAGAAAACTCTCTAAAAACACCTTTTCTCACATTAATACTTTACTTATCAGAATTATAGCCTTAAAGAAATCACTGCATATACAATAAGTTTTCTTTTAATGTACATTTTATACCCCCTCCCCTGTTTCAGTTTTTTAAAGAATTTGAAAACAATACTTTAATTATTGCCAGCTTACCCTATTTGCATGTTTTCTGACATGAAATGCCTAGAACCTGTTTAAAACTGTTCTGATAACAAATTGAAAGCATTTCAGAATACTGTAAATGTAATGTTTAGCAGTCAATCATTCCAACATTCAAGATTATATAAAGTATCCAATCCTGCCTCTGTCTCCAGTCCACATCTTACTGTATGCCTATTTGTCACTGAAAGTTCTCAATTTCTGCCTCAAATGGTCAGTTTAGAATTTTTGTCACAACAGTATCATCTCTAACCATATATCTGACATAATTTAGCTAATATATGAACTAGAAGTGTTCAAACAAAGCCATATTTGCAATAGTTGTATGTATGCAGATACCAGTCTGATGTACAAATTCACTTAAAATTTTATAGAAATGACTGCTAACATCTGATTTTTGCATAACTTCCAAGCACAGTTATTGTTTTCTATATAAAGACCTTTAAAATCATAAAATCATAGCATTTACAAGTTATATTATTTGTTTTACGACCCAGGGGGTGGTCAATTTCTCTATTTTTTGCCCCTGGAGCCTCAAATTTCCTAAATTATTCTGCTGTTTCTAGCAATATGGAATATTTAGTACATATTCTGGATAGGACACACTATTGTAAGTTTTGTTGAGATATTTTTGTATTTCTAGCTTGTATTTTTTATGTCGCGGTGACAAAAAAGTAGATTTAGGTGTTACGGCTTACTTTTTGGGTTATCGACGGGACAAAAACACCCCACCAATAATATTCAGGAAGGATCTATGAGGTTCAATGACTGCGAAGAGTAAATATAAGCACTTCTAAACTATTTAATTTACAAATATGCATATATTATGAATTTATTTTGCATTCAGGGCTTTAAGTAAACTATGCATACTGTAAACTGTGAATTTATGCTGAGTCATCATAGTTAAGGCCCAGGATTTTCTCAGTATTTACTCTATTAACGACTGACAGACCTACATCCTTCTTACATGTACACCATGTACGTTTACCATAATTAATATACAAATTAAATACAAAATTAATTTTGCCGACTAGCCCGTCAAGTACGCTGGACGCCGGGATTTATTATAGATATACAACATATATATAACAAATATTTCAAACATTGTTTGAGTAACCATCTATACATTTATTAATCACTAAGCATTTACAAATAACTTAAGAAAG